CCTGGGCAGAAGCTGGCCCACGGCCTTGGCGAGGCTTTGGGACATGGCACAGTATGGGGGAGGGTCCTCTCCACCCGGCTTGGTGCCCTGGGCTTTCCCGGTGCCTGTTGACATTGCAAACCTGTTCAATTCTCGGGTTAAAAGACAGTTACGTTGGCACGGCTTTCCTGCAGTAGTCACAAAGCCAGGTGCTCCTGAGAGTCCGCCGGCCACCACAGGGGCGCTGTGCCCCCCCGACCCCCCCCCCCCGTCTCTAAGCAGCCGGGGTCTACTCGTAGGGGCTTGTTGCTTGCAGCTACGGAGCGCAGAGCCGTGCTGAGGCGCCTGGGCGGCGGCTCTGGCCCCGAGCGTGGCTTTGGTCCTAACACGTCTCTGATGCGGGCCAGTGTGCCCGCACCACCGATTCCAAACCCCCAGCCAAGATGGGTGGCAGAGCCCCTGTCCACCAAGGCCACGGTCAGTGAGCACTGGACTGTGCTGCAAGGACTGGGTCCCAGTTCCAGGCCTTCGTGCCGTGGCAAAGCCGTGGGCTTGGGCTCTCCATCTCTGGCCCCAGCGGACTCTTCGCTGGGGGCCTGTGGGGTGGGGACACCAGGGTGCCTGCATGCAGCTCCCTGCGTGGCTGGTTACCCGGTGGCACTAAGCCTGGCGATCTTGCTCACAGTCTGTACCTTCCCATCTGCCTGTGAGTCCGTGTACTGTTAACACCCGAGGCGGGTCCGCAGCCCCACCACACGCAGGAGTGCCATCGAGACCGAGCTCTCCTCGCCCCGCACAGCGTGGACCTGGATCAGGCAGCCGCTCTCCCTGTCCTCCAGGAGCTCACCTGCGTCCGGCCGTGAGCTCCTCGGGGCCAGAGCCCGCGTCTGCCTCCGTGCCAGCGCCAGCCGGGGACCCGAGGGCTCGTGCCCACGCCACAGCCCGCCGCCCACCTGCCCGCCGCCGCCGCTCCAGGGCGTTTACCTGCCTCATCCCAGCAGCTGAGCTGACTGCGAATTCTCTGCCGTAACGTCCAACCTCAGCGGCACGGCCCGCCAGCCAGGGGGCTTGCCTGCTCTGCTCTGCTCTGCTGCAGCAAGAAGGCAGCTCAGTGCCTCATGGGAGTTAAGCAGCTGCTTCCATCCAGCGGGAGCGGGGGTTTGCCTTAAAGAACATAACAGTCCTCACTGGTCTTTGTGTAACTCGGACAGAGCTGTGCGAGGCTGCGTCCTCTGGACTGGAAATGGGGCCTGGGGGGCCTTGGTTCTGGCTCGAAGGTGAAGTTAGCACCAGGGACACGGAGCAGGGCACAGGGTGCTTCGGTTACCTATATACATAAAAGGCTAAGTGACCCGCCCAGTTCGTAGGACGTGCACTGGCAGTTTGAAATAAGCGTTGACTCACACGCACACACGCAAAATACCTGTAAAGCTCTCGGATGTTATTGAAATCCCCTGTGAAATGATTTGTAACAGATCTGTTATTGAGCTACCGTTGGAAATAGTGTATCTGTAGATAACATTAAAAGTATATCTAGCCAGAACTGGTTTGGCTCAGTGGATAGAGCATCAGTCTGCAGACTGAAAGGTCCCGGGTTCGATTCCGGTCAAAGGCATGTACCTTGGTTGCGGGCACATCCCCAGTGGGGGGTGTGCAGGAGGCAGCTGGTCAATGATTCTCTCTCATCAATGTTTCTAGCTCTCTATCTCTTTCTCTTTGTAAAAAATCAATAAATTATATATTTTTAAGAAGTATATCTAAATGTGGGATTCTTTGTCCTAAAAATGAGCATGAGTGATTCCATCGATTCAATGAAAAGGAAAATTTTCCCATCGAATTTCTTAGCAGTATCACTCCTTCCGGAATGCCGTGTCATAAGTTAAAATTGAAAGTAGACACAGTCATCATGCCACTGAGAAATCTTAGTAGTAAGTGGGGTCTTTGGAATGGCACTAGATTTATCATCACAAGATTGCGACCTGACATAATCGAAGCAGAAATACTAACAGGATCTGTGGAGGGGAGGTTCTGATTCCAAGAATGGAATTGTCCCTATCTGACCACTCATTCAAAGACCGTTTCCTGTGATGCCCGCATTTGCATTAACTAATAAATCACCATGACAAACTAGACAGAGTAGGAAGATTCCTACCTGAACCCATTTTCGGACTGGGTCAGCTATATGTTGCTTTCTCACTGGCAGCCAGGTGTGATGTTCAAGTTAAAGTTGTAAATACTTGCAAGCACTCTGAAGGTGTTTTCACTCCATGTGGTGTACAGGGAGACATTAGAATATGTTTAATCATTTTATCAGTCTTTTTATGTCATTGTTTTTATATCGTGTTATTGTTTATTAATCAACTTATATATTTTCATGTACATTTTACTAATTTTCTTTCATCTCTGACACTTCTATTATAAAGGGCGAATACAATATTCAAATATTTTTTCCAATTTTTCTTCTAATATTTCTTCTAATGAATCTGTGCACTGGGCTACTAGTTTCAAAATAAAAGATTTCTTTGAAAACTTCATTGGTTTCAGCAAAGGGGAAAGCAGTTTGCTGCCGTGCGTGAGTTACCCTTTATTTTGATCATTGGGGTAGTCCCGTGGGAGTTTCGGCTCTGACCCTGCGCAGGTGGGCATGTGGCTTCCCCTCCTCAGGGACCAGCCTCCGCCTGTCTGAGCTCCGGGCTCCGCAGGGGCGGGCTGGCTCCAGGGTCAGCAGGCAGCAGCCCCGGCACAGCCAGTGCACAGACGCTGTGGTTAGGGCTCTCGCCTAAGGGGCCTCTGGCCCCGCTCCAGCCATGGCTGCCCTTGGGGACTGCACATCTGTCAGCAGCTGGGCCCGCACCTGCCCCCGCCTCCCTGTGGCCACACTTCCCACCCCCGGGGCTGCGGCCTGGCGGATCTTCCTGGGTTAGGGACGTGGAGGTGGAGGTGCTCTCCTGAGGAAGCCAGGACTGCCGCAGGCCACCCCCACCCTGGCCTCTGCTGTGATCACACTGGGTGGCGCCCCCCAGCCAGCAGCCTCCACATCTCAGGCCCGCGTGAGCTCTGGGGACAGCAGCAACACCCGAGTCCCGCTCCCTGGGCCTCCCCGGCCCTGTCAGCAGCTCACTGGCAGCCACACGTCCTACATCCTGCCGGCCTTTCCGACGGAGGAGCAGACGCCCGGCTGGTGCAGGCTTCTGGGCACGGGGTGTCAGGCGCCCGCCGCGCCCAGTCCTGCCCGTGCGCCCGGCCTCGGCCTCGGCCTGGGGTCGGCCCTCAGGCAGCAGTCCGGGTCCTTGTTACAGGGGGACCAAGCGCTAGGTCTCTCCTGTGGAGCTGCCTTTCTTCCACGTTTTGGAAGACAAATGCCAAACGACCTAGGGAGGTGTCCTCCGCACCCGCACAGGCGGAGGCAGGGCACCCTGCTGCGGGCCCGCCGCCTCTGCCGCCGGGGCTCCCACGGGTCTCGCCCGGGAAAAGCACGTCCCTGGCCTGACCCCTGTGAGGGGGTCAGAAGCTCCCTCCAGTGGACAGGGCCTGGGCCTGGTGCCTCACCGGCTCTGCGCGGCCGCCGGGCCCAGCCTGTGAGAGCCACACCTCAGCCCAGCTGCCTCCGAGGCTCTGGTGGCCGGGGGCCAGGCTGGCGCTCCCTGTGCACCGGAGGCAGCTCTGCCCAAGGCCAGGGCCAGCCAGCCTCGGCCTCTCACGCTTTGTCTTGGTGCTAGGCCTGTGGACGGGCAGGCGGACGCCATCCCAGCAGCCGGGGCTGCAGTGCTGGGACCCTCCAGCCCCGGGGTTCAGGGCAGGGACGGCTCACCGGGCGCCCACAGGCTCGTAGGCAGTGAGCCACCGAGAAGGCCCGGTGAGCGCCCTGCCCGCAGCCTGGCACTCGGGCGGGCGTGTGTGTGCGTGAGAGTGAGTGTGATCGCTGTGGGGGGAACACCCCGCTGAGTGGCCAGGGCCCTTCGGGGGGCCCACCGATGCCAGGCGTGATTGGGCATTGTTTTCCTAAGCAAGGGCTGGGGCCAGTCACAGGCCACTGGACGGGCCAGTGCCCACTGTCTGGTGGTGGGGAGGGAGGGGGAGAGGGGAGCCCACGCGGGGTGCACAGCCCAGCGCCCCTCTCTCTCTGGCCCTCGCTGCGTTGCACTGCCCACCCTGGGGACGGCTGGGTGCTGCCAGCCCTGGGTGCTGCCTGAGCCTGGTGGCCTGCCTTTGGCTGGGAGAGCACAGGCGGGCGATGCCTGCGGCAGCCTTTCCATGAGCCGTGGTCATTGCCTCCATCCTCCGGGGCCGGGCACGCCCTCCCACACACAGATGCCGAGCCCCGCTCCCTGCCCCCTGCCAGCCCCCTGCCAGCGGTCTGTGTGCCCGTGGGCCAGCCCGAGGTGAGGGCACGGCTGCCTGTCAGGCTGCCACCCCCAGGCCCTGACGCTGGTGCATTCCCGCTGGTGCTCAGGGAGGAGGAGGGAGGGCTGACAGCTGGGTTTGTTTTGTTGTTTTAGAAGGTTTCAGAAGGAGCGGGTGTGGGGCCTGCTGGGTGGGGGGGCTGGATCCCCACTCTGCTGGCTTTGCTCGGGGCCGCGGTCCTGGCCCCTGGCCCGTCGTCCTCCGAGGGCCCGCTGACCCTGAGTGAACAGTGTCCGTCTTCCCGGGAGAGTGAGGGCCGCCCAGCCCTGCCCCAGGGGGCCCTGTCTGGTGGTTGGCAGGGGGAGGGGGTGAGGGGAGCCGCTGGGGAGGTTGCTTCAGGAGGCCCTATGCTGTCGAGAGAGCCAGCCCAGGGCCAACCAGGCCCCAGAGCCAGCGTGCGCCCACCCAGCCCCCTGCAGGCCGGCGCGGGGAGGGGGTGGGCAGGCTCCGAGCCCGGGGCCTCTGCAGGGTGAGCTCTGACTGCTGGGCGGGCGGGAGCGCAGGGTCCGCACCCCTGGCCTCTGGGGCGGGGGCGGGGGGAGTGGGGGCGAGAGGGGAGGGTCGGGGGGGGCAGGGGTGGGGTGCAGTTCCTGAGAGTCCCTGTGGGTCCCCCCCAGGATGGAGCGAGCGCAGACACGAACTCCGAGCTGTCCCCGGAGGAGAAGAGGGTGCTGGAGAGGAAGCTGAAGAAGGAGCGGAAGAAGGAGGAGAGAAAGCGGCTGCAGGAAGCTGCGGCCACGGGCACGGCCCCGGCCCAGCCTCTGCCAGCCAAGCCCTCTGGTGCCCAGCTGGCCCTGGACTACCTCAGTGGGTGAGAGGCCGCAGGGGAGAGGGGGGCGCTGTACCCCACGTCTGTGGTCTCTGGGCGGACGGGGCGGCCATCTGGCCGGGGCTGCAATGTGCTGCCCAAGAAGTGCCCATCCCAGGCAGACAGCCTGTGCTCGGGCAGCTCGCCTACAGCTGGGCGGCTGGGGTTCGGGGACGGGGACCCCCACACCGCAGAGGAATTGCAGGCGGGCTCGGATGCACCCTGGCTGGTCTGGGCCTCTCCCCACGTCTGTGCCCTTGGCCTGGGAGGGACCCAGAGCCCCCATGGACACTGCGCTGGACCCGGCCAAGCAGAGGCCGCCGGGCCGGTGCAGACCGCCCGCCTGTGCTGAGACCGCGCTCTCCTCCTCAGCTGGGCCCGGAAGCACCAGGGCTGGCGGTTCCAGAAGACGCGGCAGACCTGGCTCCTGGTGCACATGTTCGACAGCGATCAGGTATGGGGGGGCGGGGGTGGAGAGGCCTCCCAGCCTGTCCGCACCGCCCCTCCCTCTCTCTGCCCTGACCCGCAGTGTCCCCTTCCTTTCTGTGCTGAGCAGTCAGTTCCAGTAGAGCCTGGGCCGGCCAGCTCCAGCCGACAAACGCTCCAGCACGCCTCCCCTCGCCCCCCCCCTCCCCCCCGGTCCCTGTGAGGACCCCGGGCAGCGCCGGGGCCTGAGGCTCCCGGGGCCAGAACCCAGGGCTCTCGCCGCCGGCATCTCAGTCCCCTCGGCCCAGCGGCCCACCGCCTGGCTGCTGACCGGCCCTCATCTCCCTGCACAGGTCCCCGACCAGCACTTCCCCACCCTGCTGGCCTACCTGGAGGGCCTGAGGGGCCGGGCAAGGGAGCTGACCGTGCAGAAGGCAGAGGCCCTGATGCGGCAGCTGGACGAGGCGGACGCCGCCCCGGACCAGCCCCTGCTGGAGAGGAGCCGGCGCGCCCGGCAGGTGCTTCAGCTGCTCTCCTAGGCCCCGGCCCCAGGTGCCAGCCTGCCGCCCTCGGGCCAGAAGCCGCCTGTTCTACCGGCCAACATTGGCAGAGCGCCCTGCCCGCCCGCGGCGTGGGGCCGGGCCGTCTCACGCAGGCCACGTGCTTCCTGCCACAGCTGCCGTGGAGCCTCCCTGCTCGGCCAGACCACGGCCTCACTGCTCGCTCCAGGGGAACTGGCTGTACTTCCAATAAAGCGGCCGCGCCGGCCCCGGCTCCCGTCCTCGCCCGTCCTCGCCTGCTTGCAGCCTGGGAGGGGTGTTTGCTGAGGGAACGCGTGTGGGCACCAGGCCGTCCCTGCCAGGCCCCCCCCCCCCCCCGACACCCTGGGCATCTGCGACCTGGCCCTCCTGCAGGATGACCCTCCGTGGGCTGGCCCTTCGCGTGGCGGCAGAGACCATGGTGCTGTCCGTCTGCGTGAGGATGGACCTGCCGTCCTAGCAGTGCGTGCATAGACCCAGAGTCACATGGCTGAGCGCCGAGCATGGAGGCCGCGTTCGGGGCGCGGGGAGGAGCAGGGCCAGTCCCTCCTGCCACGTGGCCTCAGCCTCTGTTCACCTGCCCCCGAAGTCCTGCCTCGGAGGTCACACCACCCTCCTGCCCAGCACCCAGGTGGCCGCTCCCAGCACGCTGTGTGGCAGCGGGGCCTCCACTGCCACTGGTGCAGCTGAAGTCCTGATCGCACGTACACATGCTTGCACACGTGTACACACAGCTGTGCGTGCGCTGTGCACATATATGCATACATGTGTGTACACGAATGTTCTTGTGCACTGCTGTGTATGTCTGTACATGTGTGTGCGTGCACATATGCACACATGGTTGCACACAAGCACACGTGCACTCCAGGCAGAGAGCCAGAGGGGCTTTGGGACCCAGGGCCTCGACCCCTCTCAGCCCTGGGGATGGCCCCAGCTCCGCTGGAGTTTGTCTTGGTTTCTTGGTTCCTCCTCCCCTGAGGATAGTTGTCCACTGATCTCAGAGAGAGGAAGGGAGAGGGGAGAGATGTCCGTGTGAGAGGCACACCAGCTGGTTGCCTGCAGCACACACTCCAAGCAGCCCAGGGATCGAGCTGCAGCGAGGTACTGCCCTCGACAGGAATGGAGCCGAGACTTCACGCCGAGGGCCAGCGCTCTGACCACTGAGCGACCAGATAGCTCCACTGCGATGGAGGTCGCCCCTGGAGTCCTGGGAGCTGAGGCGGCCGCCCACGTCTGAGGGTTTGCTCACAGTCCAGGGCCTTCGTTTTGGGGGGGTCTGGGGGTCCCTGCGGCCAACGCCAAAGGCAGAGCTGGGCCAAGGGCATGGACGTCCAGAGCCCTCTGCCCACCACCGTCCTGCATCAGCCTGTGCCCTCCGACCACACGCAGAGGCCGGGGCCAGGCCACGGGCAGTTCCGAGGACCGGCCAGCAGTCTAGTCCTGTCTGTGTGGCCGGTGGTGCCCTGTCCTAGGTCGGTTTCCATGGTGAAGAGGGAAGTGAGGCCCGGCATACGTGTGCACAAGAATAGGTGTGTATGTGCAAGCACATGTGAACATGTGTGTGTGTGCACGTGCCTGCATGTGTGTGAGCATGTATAGGTATACACACAACCAGGCAGTGGCTCACTTTTTGTTTTTTGTTTTTTTAATATATTTCTATTGATTTCAGAGGAAGGGAGGAGAAAGAGAAATATCAATGATGAGAGAGAATCACTGATCAGCTGCCTCTTGCACGCCCCCCCCTGGGATTGAGCCCACAGCCTGGGCATGTCTGACTGGAAATCTGTGACCAACGCTCAACCACCGAGACACACTGGCCGGGCTCCCTCTTTGTTTTTATTGACTTGTTCCCTCTGGAGTTTGGGGCCTGGCTGCACCCTCGTCAGCCTGTCTTCACCGGGGAGATGGGGGGATGGCCCAGGGCGGGGGGTGCCGGTTTCACGGTCAGAGGCTGCCCCAGAGGGCACGGGGACGGGAAGGGCTGGTGGGGGTCCTGGTGCAGACGCAGCCGCTGAGCCCAGGGCGGGGGCAGGGGGGAGGCGGGGAGACAGATGAAAAGAGGTGGGACCCGGGCTGCTCTGGGAGAGGAGGGAGTTTCGGGTGCGGGGCCTGGGAGATGGCTGTCTCCATGGCCGCCACTGCGGCTGAGGGACAGCTGGGGGCCCGAGGTCACACTGTCGGGAACGGGGCTGTGGTGAGCGAAGGGCGGCGAGGACCATCCGTCCAGGCTGCCGCCAGGGATAGTGACTCACCCCCCACCCCTCCACACCCTCCACCTCCCAATCCGCACCCCCAGGCAAGAGCACAGGACGGGCCTCGGTCAGCGCCCCCGGGGCCTGGGCACCGCACACAGGACCTGGGCCGGCGGCCGCATGGTGAAGGCGGGCGCGGGCACGGTGCGCAGGCCGGCGGGCCCGAGGCCGGGCGGGGGCTGCAGGCGGAAGCTCTGGAGGAGGCCGGCGAAGAGCAGGAACAGCTCTGTCCGCGCCAGGCGCTCTCCCAGGCAGACGCGGCGGCCTGTGGGGAAACCGGGGGGGCATCACCTCCCAGTCAGGGCCAGGGCCCATCCCCCGAGGCCCCACCCGGGACCCCCTGGGAGCCGCACCCGCCGAGAAGGGCAGGAAGGCCTCCCGCTGGACAAAGTGCCCGTCGGCGTCCAGGAAGTGCCCGGGGTTGAACTGGCCGGGCGTCTCCCACTGCGTCTTGTCCAGGAGCACGGAGCTCAGCAGCGGGAGCACCGGGGTGCCCTGCGGGGAGAGCGGCGGGCGGGCTGGGCGCTCGCTGTGCCGTCCCACCTCGCAGGAGCCCAGCCCGCACGGGGCCGGCCTCCTGCTCTGATCCCTCCCTGCCTCCACGTGAGCCCGGCCCCCTCCCGAGGCCGGCGCTCACCTCGGGGAGCAGGTAGCCGCCCAGCCGGGTGCTGCCCGCTGTGCAGCGGGGCACGTGGGGCAGGAGCGTGATGAACCGCTGCACCTCATGCAGCACGGCGTTGGTGTAGGGCAGTGCCCGCTGGTCCTCAGGCCGGGGCAGCTGCCCGGGCCCCAGCACCCGGTCCAGCTCCTCCTGCACCCGGTCTGCAGCGAGAGGGGGCAGTGACCCTGGGGCCTCGTCCTGGGGCCCCGGGGCGGGCGAGGGCGAGGGCGCGGCCGCACACCCACCCTGCACGCCGGGGTGCCTGCCCATCAGGAGGGCCGCCCACTGCAGCGTGGCCGAGGTGGTCTCGGTGCCGGCCATGACCATGTCCAGGACACAGGCCACCACGTTCGCCTCCGAGAACAAGCCGTCGGGGTCTCTGCCCTGCAGGCGGGCGGGGCTCAGCGGAGGCCGCCCCTGGGCCCCGCTCTGGGCTCCAGAAAAGGGGCAGAAGCCAGGCTTGGCGGAAAGGGCAGTAGGATCCCTGAGCACCTGCTGGGCGGGGGGCCCCCCGCGTCCCCCACCCCAGTCCTCCCAGCTGCCCCAGGCGGCACGGGAACCCCTTTCACGGTGACCAGGCTCAGGGAAGCCCCAGGCGGAGGAGCGTGGGCAGGACCAGGAGGCCTGGACGCCCCCGGCCTCCGGGGAGGGGGCTGGCCCACACCTGGCCTTGCTGCCTCAGGGCGTCGGCGTAGCTGTGCACGGGGCCTCCCCCGGGTGGGGGCCGCGCTGCCAGGAGGGCCCTCAGGACGGCCCGCACCTCCTCAATCTTCCTCAGCACCGGCCGGTGCAGCCGCAGCAGCGCCCCCAGCCGGGGGTACAGGTTGAACAGCTGGGGGGGGCAGACAGCAGTGAGGGGGTGAGCTCAGGCCCCACAGCCCACAGGGACCAGGAAGGCCTGGAGTTTCATGCCCAGACTGGAACCACCGCCGAGGCCGGCGCGGCGAGGCCCCCTGTGGTGGGAGCGGAGCGGGCATGCCCTCGGCGCCCGTTGGGTTTTCGCGGGTCCGCACGGCTGTGTCCCGGGGGCACACCACGGCGCCGGTGGGCACCCGGGCGGGAGCGTCGGCCGCTGGTTTCAGAGCGGCCAGCCATGCTCGTGGGCCTGCGGCCTCCTGAGGAGATCGGGGCTCAGACGCACTCCCCGGAGCGGCCGCCCAGCCGTGCAGGCCTGCGGAAGCGGGCGGGCGGGGAGCTGCCGAGCACACGACCGGGTCTGGGTCCCGACTGGGGACGCCGTCTCTGAGGGGAGGGGGCGGGCCCACTGGCTCTCAGGCGGGAGGTGTGGGGAGGGGCGACGAGGACCCCGGGGGCAGGGTCCTGCCTGCCTCTAGGCCAGCGGCTCCCCACGTGGGGCGCCCACCGGGGCAGTTTGAGAAGGAGTTATTAACGGAATGCTTTGTGTTTCTTGTGGTTCTAGGGCCTGGTGTACAGTTATAAATAGGATTTGTGACGTGTTTATGCACTTCCGTTCTCTGTTTGAAACCTGGCTGCTTTTTCATTCCTCTTCATGTCATTGTTTTAACAGTTTCTTAGGGATTTCTTCCTCAGTGTTTCAGCTGTCCTTCCGTCCTTTTATGGTTCTTGCTCTGGGATGCCCTGCTCTTCGGAAGCTCCTGTAGACCAAGGTCAAGGCCTTTGGGCTTCCTCCCCGCGAATGGGGGCTCGCTAGGTCCCCGGGCATCGGGATGTGAGAGGCGCTCGGGGCGTGGCCCCAGCCACCTCACCTCTCCTGGCTGGTGGCGACCTCTGACCTCTCACCTGCAGGCCGGGCGTCCCCAGCAGGACCATGACGTCATCGATGAGGCCCAGCAGGGACTGGAACAGGGGGTCCTGGTAGTCGAACCGCCGGCCGAAGAGCAGCGTGAAGGTGATGTTGGAGGGCGCCCAGCCCAGCAGGGCCAGGGGGAAGGGCCGGCCTGCGGGGAGACGGGCCTCAGCGGGAGGGGCTGGGAAGGGGACCCCCCGCCCTCACTCACCTCCGTACTGATCCAGCTGCCCCTCGAGGCACCGCAGCTCCTGCAGGACCTTGTCGGCCACGGGCGCCCGGCCCACGCCCAGGCCGTGGAGGGTGCGCACGGCGTGCTGGCGGGCGGCTCTCCAGCGAGGCCCGGAGGAGAAAAAGATGCCTGCGGGCCCGGCCCCCGAGGCAGCGCTCACTGTCCCGCCCTCCCCTCCCGGCCGGCCTCTCCCCTCCCCCTCCGGTGTGCGGGTCCCGGCACCGCGCCCACACAGGCACACCCTGCCCCCCCAAAGAGCAGGGCTGGAGGCTGCCCCCCCCCGGGGGCCCTCTCCCATCACAAACCTACCCCTGCCCCCCTGGATGAGCTGGAAGATGGGGATGGGGGGCCGGTCGGCCAGCCGCTGCCCCGTGCCCACCAGGGCCTCCCGCACTGCCTTGTAGCCGGTCAGCACCACCGTCTTCTGGCCTCCCAAGTGGACGGTGAACACTGGCCCATACTGCTCTGCGAGCTGGCAGCGGGGCCATGAGGAGAGGCCCATGGAGCCCCGCTCCCTCCAGGAGGGACCCCACCCTGCTGTGTCCCCGCAGCACCCCTGCCGCCTCCCGCTGAGGCTGGGGCCGGGCTCGGCCTCGGCCGGCGCTCTGGCCCCAGCTGCTCTGCCCCAGCGTGCGGGACGGCGGCCTCGGGACCCAGAACCCGCCTGCAGCCATGTGCAGCCCCTCCCCCCCCACCTGCAGGCTGCTGCCCAGGCAGGAGGACCCACCGCCCGCTGCCCCTCGGGTGAGCAGTGGGCAGCCCCGTGTGTGCTGCATTGTGCCGCTCCCTCCCCTGCCCCAGCCTGCCCCTGCGTCAGGGTCTCTCCAATGCTGCCTCTTCCAGGAAGCCCTCCTGGCTTTCTGCTCCTTGGAGGCCCATCGTCAACGTGCAGGAGCCTTTCTCCTCCCAGGGCAGGCGGGCAGGTGGGTGCCTGTGTCCCTGCCAGGCCAGCGCTGGCTGGACCCCGAGCCTCCTAACCCATGGGGTCCCCAAAAACTAGGGCCTGCTCCCCCAGGCGAGGGCCCCACGGCTGCAGGACGCCCCCTCTTACCTCCATCAGCGAGCGCTCCTGCTGGGACACCCGCAGCAGATGCAGGTTCCCGATGAGGGGCAGCGGGCGCGGCCCGGGGGGCCAGCGGGGGGCCGGGCGGGGGGCCCGGGCCCGGGTGAGAGTGCGGAGCAGCACCCAGAGCCCCAGGAGCCCCAGGAGCAGCAGGGCCATGAGGACGGCGTGGGGCCCCCGTCCCGCCCTGTGCCTTATAGGCTGGGAGAGGGCGTGCCGCACCCCACACCCACCCCCCGAGAATGTGGAACAAGCAGTTTGCAGGGGACAGCCTGGCGCTTAAAGCGACAGGCGTGTGTGGAATGCGGGTCGAGTCTGAGGGGCGGCGGGCTATGGGGCAGGTGTCCCAGCCCCGTGCACGGCGTCCCATCCTGGGGCAGAGGACCTCGGCCCGTCGCCCCCCCACCGGGCAGCCCACCTCCGCCTCAGTCTCCCCGTCAGACAGGACGTGTGGGCTTAGGGGCCCGGCCCCACTCTCAAGGAGGGGCCCCACTTCCCTGCCGAGCTCCCTCCGCGGCCCCATGGCTGTGGGGTCCTGGGCCTCTCCCGCCCCCCCCCCCCCGTGTCCTCTCAGCCCCTCTCGTGGGCCAGTGGGGCCCCGGGCTGGTCCTGGAGGGTCAGCCTGCAGACTCCCCGATCCAGGGCCCCTCCCGGCCCTAAGGGAGCGGCCCTGAGTGACGGCTGCTGGGGCTGTCGCCCGTCACCTGGGCTGGGGCACCAGCCTGTGCTGGGGAGGGAGGGGGACGGGGCTGACCGCCGAGGCCGGGCCTGCAGCTGCGGGCGGTGACAGGTGGCCCGTTTACGAGCCCATCCTGTGCCCCACGCTGTCTCCTGACCCGGCTGCCCGGCCGGGAGGCAGGAGGCTCCGCTGTGGGAAGGAGCTCGGAGGGGCGGGAAGCTGTTGGCACCAGAACTGGCTGGGCCTGCTTCCCGCCACCTGCCCTGACAGGAGGCCGCCGCCCGGCCCCCACGGGCCCCCCACGGACCTCTGCCCGCCCCACCCCGGTGACGGCACTGCACGCCTCCATGGCGGGGGGACACACACACACACGCTGCTTGTCCTGCCGCACGGCTGGGGGCGGGGGCAGGGGTAGCTATTTGTTGGGGCTTCGGTCATCGGGACCGAGCTCCCTGCACCCAGGCTGCTGCCAGGCGTTGGCTGGGTCCTGCGTCCGGGACGGTCACGTTGTTGGCAGCTTTGAGCACTGTGTGTGTGGCTCGGCCAGGGAAGGCGGAGCTGGCCGGCAGGGTCCTGACGGCCTCGGAAGCCCATGTGGCGGGGACTCTGCCTCCGAGAGCCCCTCAGGCAGACAGGCCCAGGAGTCAGGAAGGCCGGGTCCTCAGAGAGTCCACCAAGTCTCGGGATTGACCCCTCTGACCCCTACCCTGGGAATAAGGATCAAGGGGCAGAGGCCACGACCTATGACCCAAGTCTAGGAAGTCACACAGCTTTGTCCCCTTGGGGAGCCCCAATCGGCCCAGCTCCCCAGCCAGGGGAGGGCAGGGCTCCGGGACAGTCTGTCCCAACTGCCCTCAAGTCCATTCCTCAGGGGTCCTGGCACCAGTGGGCCCTTCCAGAGGGTGGAGCTGGTCCGTACGGTGTCTGTGGGGCCCGGCCTGGGGAAGCCCGAGGCCTCGATGGGGGTGTCTGGGCCCGGTGCTCGCCCCCCAGGCTCCCAGTCGCCCCAGGCCCCCCCCGGGGCGAGTGTCTCCCCTCTGCCTGCTGAGGAGCCCTCATCCTGGGGCGCAGGCCCTCCTCTGGGCCCCTTCGGGTTCCTGCCTCAGTCACACCTGGTGGACGCATCTCGTGGGGCCGCCGGTCAGCCCACAACACAGCTGACCCTCTGCCGGTTCCCTCACAGGCACAGCAGAGGGCCCAGCAGTCTCCCGGCCTCAGTGACGGGCTCCCACCGTCAGCGATGTGTGTGCCTCACTCCTCCGTCCACGAGGTCCGGACGGGCAGGCGGAGGTCCAGGGTGACACCTTCCAGAGAGGACAGAGAGGAGCCGCCTCCTGCACCGCTCTGTCCCGCTCCAGCCAGGCCGCCCAGGCCTCGCACACGCTGCTGAAATGCCTGTGGGCACATTTCTCCGTGCTCAGCCCTGAGCCGGGTTCTGCCTGTCAGATTCGGCTGATGTTCCTGCTGTGACGGTGAGCTCAGGTTCCCGCTGAGGCTGGAGCCCCGGCTCTGGGACCCCGCCTCTCGCTGCTCCTACGGCTCCTCCGGCCACGGGGTGCCCCGTCTCAAAGGGGGCTCTCCAGCCTGAGGTAGCCACCCAGCCGGTCCGCCACGCCCTGAATTCACAAGTGAAGCGAGGGGTCCCTGCCCGGGGCCCCGGCGGCCGGGCCCTGCTCCTAGGTGAGGAGGTGAGGGCGGACACCACCGGGTTCGAGCTGCAGGGGCACCGTCCGGCCGCGGGGCTTTGGGGAACGGCCTCGCGCACGGAGGGCTTCCTGGCACAGGGCCTCCTCCCCTGCTCTTCCCAACCGCACAGCTGAGCACCGTCCCGCAGGGGCCCATTAAAGGCCGCTGTCACCCTGAGGTCAGGACCCCGAGGGCCGCCGGGCGGGCTGCGGGCCGGGTGGGGCGGCCCGTCTGGCTGAGTGGCTCCTTGCAGCTGGTGGGAAGTGCGGCTGGCGGGGAATAGAGCGGCCATTGTCCGGGCCCTGGAAGCGATTAATGAGTAACTGGCCGGCCCGGCTGTAAATGTTGTTTATGCGACAGAACAAGGTGCTGTTTTCCTGCCGTTGTGAGTGGGCCCTGAGCCCCGGCCGGTCGGGGCTGACACCGGAGTGGGTGTCCAGCAGCCCTGGGTGTCCCTGTGGGCCCACGGCCACCGGGTGCCCGCTCTGAGCTGCCCTCCCCCTCAGAGCAGGTGCAGCCCCGGCACCAGACCCACAGTGGCCACTCAGGCCCAACAGGGGGGGCCTCCTCGGGTGAGGCACCCTCACCAGCCCTGAGGAGGAGCGCCTGGGCGGGGCTGAGGGGCCCTGGGCTGTGGGGCCGGTGTTTGCAGGTGGCTGCTCCTGACCTGGAGGAGCAGGGGGCTGGGTCCCGGCCGGGATGGGGTGAGGGTGAGCTCTGCACCGAGAACCTGGTGCCGTGGCTGCTGACCACGTGGACGGAGCAGAATCACGGGCGGCCGGCCGGCCTGTGGGGGGCAGGGACCCGCCTCCCCATCTCGGTGAAAAGTGGAGGCACCGAGTGGGGTGCCCAGCTTTCAGGGCTGGCGGAGAACTGGGGTCTCCACTGAGCCTCTCCTTGTTGTCACTGTTGCCACAGCAACAAGGAACGACCGCCAGGGGCTTGCCTCTTCACTGGCCCTGGTTCCCACAAAACCCCCAATGCCGCAGAAGCGGTCCTGGCCGGGTAACGGCCCAGGCGAGGTCCTTAGGGGCAGGCCCTTCGCCAGGGATTAGTGGGAAATCTGGCCCAACCCGCCCACAGGAGAGGCCGGCGAGGATGGCAGAGGAGAGCTCAGGTGATGGGTCTAGAGCCAGGAGCCTGCAGGCCACTGGGAGAGGGAGCCCCGCGCGGTTGAGTGCAGCGTTGACCTGTGATCCAGGAGATCCCGGTTTGATTCCCAGTCAGGACACGTGCCCAGGTTGCCCACTCGATCCTCAGTTCCATCTGTGATTCTCTCTCATCACTGATGTTTTTCTCTCCTTTCTATTCCTCTCCAAAACCAATAAAAATATATTAAAGATAAAAATGTATTTTAAGTGAATAAAATTCTTTAAGAAATTAGAAAAGGTGGAGAGGCACCGCGCAGAGGGAACCAGCCTGCGGGCACCTCCAGACGCAGATTAATGTCTCTGGTCCGGAGCCGCCCAGGCAGTCAGGCCCGAGTGTCCACAGCCCCGGTGTCCACAGCCCCGCCTCGGAGGCCCCCCTCCCGCCCCCGCTCCTTCCCTGAGGCCTCCCTGGGGCTCGGTGTGCTCCGAAGCTGTGCGTCCTCAGGCCAGCAGCCGAACCTCTCTGAGCTTGTCCCCGCCGCCGGGCTGCTGCGAGGGTCACAGGGGCTGGGCCCGGAGCCGGCCGGGCGGAACCAGGGGCTCCTCCCGGGTCCGGGCCTCGCAGAGCCCGCGGCGGGGCCTTGCTGGTGAGGGGCGGGGCCGGGAGGGGTGGGCGGGGCCGGCGGGGTGGGCGGGGCCCTCCTGCCGGGGCCGCTCCGCGCGCTCGGCGCTCGCTAGGGGTGCGCTCGGCGCTCGGCCGGCGGCCTGCGTAGTGCGTGCGTCGCCCTCGGAGGCTCCGGCGCCACCATCATGTCTACGGCCATGAACTTCGGGTCCAAGAGCTTCCAGCCGCGGCCGCCGGACAAGGGCAGCTTCCCGCTGGACCACTTCGGTGAGCGGCGCGGGGTCTCGGGCCGCGGGGAGCCCGTCGGCGCGTCCAGCGCCTGTCTCTCGGCCTAGCGGCCCGCGGTGGCCAAGCGCCCGGAAGTCAGGCTTCGGGGAGAGGCGGCGCTTCCGCCCGCGGGCTCACGGGCTCCTCACACTGCCCGGGCCGCGGGCGGCGCCTCGTGGGTCGGCCGTTCCCGAAGGAGAGGCTGCCGTGAGCGCGCGGCCGGGGCGCTTCGGAGACAACATGCCGCCTTCGCTTCCGTCCCAGGTGAATGCAAACGCTTCCAGGAGAAGTTCATGAAGTGCCTCCGCGATAACCAGTTCGAAAACGCCTTGTGCCGACACGAGTCCAAAGACTATTTAGAGTGCCGGATGCAGAGGCAAGTAGGGCGGCCCGCCCCGCCCCCGGCCCGTCCACCGCGCCGCTGCCTTCCCAGAGGCCCTTGCGGCGCCGGGTCCGCCCCGCCCGGCTAGGGCTGGCGCGTGCGCGCGGGAACTTCCCCTCGGGGCACCTTGCGTTCCTCCCAGCATCCTCTCTGCGGTCCTGGGTGGGCGCCGTCACTGTGGCTTCAGACCGAGTGAGGAGACGAAGGCGGTGCTGCGGGGACCGCCCTCCCCCAGGCCCACCGCCCTGCGTTGTGCCGTTTGCAATGCGGCCGGTGACGGGGACCGCGGGCTGCTTAGTGACGGCCCCATGGCGCCCCCGTTCGGCAGAGCCCCTTAATACTTCTTGTTAAGCCTCACCGAGGGTGTTTCCCATCGAGCTTTCTTAGAGAGAGAGGGAGAGAGGGAAAGACGAACGTGCATGTGAGGGACCCATGGGTGGTTGCCTCCTGCAGACGCCCTGAGCCACACTGGCCGCTCAGACACCGCCACAGGGCTGTCTCCGGCCCTCCTGCTCCTGAGGGCCTCGCCGGGCCCCACCGGGGGAACCAAAGCAGCCTCCCCCAGAACCCACGGAGCCTGCCGCCTGGGGGTTCTCACGGGTTTCAGTGTGTCCCTGGGGTCCTGGGTCCGCCCGGCTGGAAGTCAGGGAACTGTTGGCCCAGGCGCCCTCCTCACCGGGACGTGGCGAGAGGGTGTGGCTGGGCCTGGCTGGAGTGGGAGCCATTGCCCTGGATCTGCAGCCAGTCCACACTGCTGACCGGCGAGCTGTCTGTGGACATTTCCCTGAGGCTTTGCTAGAGCCCAGGATGCGCTCTGACCCCCCGGCCAGGTCGGGGACACCTCCCAGCCAGCACATAGTTCAGAGGCCATGGAGAGGGCACTGGTGCCCGGGGGACACGTGGCGTTGCCACCTGAGCCTCAGGCCACTTTGGCTTCCCAGCGGCCGGCCTGCAGGTGCCAGTTGCCACAGGTTCCCAGGATCTGGCCTCCCTGCCCCCCACCCGCCCTGTCTCCCAGCCACAGGCCCCTCCCAGCCCCTTAGCTGCCTCACCCATGGAGCTCCGACTACACCAACTGTCCAGATTGGTGACGGCAAGTGTGGTGAGCAAGGAGCTTACCTCCCAGCTTGTCCAGCCCTCCTGGGACACAAATTCCTTAGTTTGCCCTATGCATAGACTTTTATTTTTCAAGTGGATTCTGGCTTTTTGCAATGGAGATTGTCCATCACATGCAGAGTGCAGTCCAGTGAGCTCTGCCCCGTCCCACATCCCCATGCCCCTTCCATTTGCTCAGGCCTGAGAGCAAGCCCCAACCTCCTGGCTGCATGAAGCAGCTCCTGGTTTTCCTGTGGGGGCGGCTGCAGGCTGAGGCTTGGGTGTCGGTCATTCAGGCGGGTTGTGTTTCTCAGCAGCGTGGCCACAGGCCCACAGACCCTTCAGAGTCGAGTCTGAGCACCGCGGTGGTCCCAGGTGTCCAGCTCGCCGGCTGGGGCTGTAGGGGCGCACGCTCAGTGCTGGAAGGTGGGGTGGCGGGTACTGGCACGGGGAGGTGAGCGGGGGGCCTCGGAGAGCTGCCTCCCCAGACAAACCACGCAGACCAGCTCTTTCCGGCGTGAGAATGGGAGGTGGGAGGGGCTCCGGGCTCCCGGGCACCTGCCTTGGCACCTGAACAGCAGGAAGCTGGTGGGGACCAGGCCCCGGGGGGGAGGGCGGCCTGGGGCCTGGGCGCTGCCCTCATTCTCCTCCTCCACCTGACACCTGTCCGCCTGTCTTTCAGGCAACTGATGGCACAAGAACCACTGGAGAAGCTGGGGTTTGGAGACCTGGTGGATGGAAAGGCGGGCAAACACTGAATCCTCCTGGAAGACCCCCGCGGGCGTCTGGGGCGGAGCCGTGGCGCTGACCTGTCACCCTGAGGGTCACTCGGTGGATGGGGCTCAGCCGGGAAGGGCTCCTCCCTCAGCCTCCCAGGTCACAGAGAGGATCCCCCACCAATCCCACCCACCCCACCCCGAGGGAGCCGTCTGGGGAGGCCCCGACGGGTGACAGACCGAGTCTCGTCTGGGAGTGGACGCTCGGCTGCATCTTGTAACACTGGACGTTTGTGAATTTCAGAAAACTTCCCTGGAAAAGTGGTTTTCTTTCCCTTTTTTATAAAACAAAACAACGAAAAAGTGGAACCTGAGAGTATCTAACGTAAGAGGAAGACATTAGAAACTGCGGAAATGGCCCTGGCTGGTGCCGGTTGGTTAGAGCAGTGGCTTGCGAGCCACAGGCAGCTCTTTGGCCCCTTGAGTTTTTAGCAAAGGCCAGCTTGGGAGTGCCCTAATTAAGTTAATAACAATGTACCTCCCAATATAGTCTAAGCTTAAAAACTTTGGCGCTCAAGAGAAATTTCAGTCATTGTACTGCTAATATTTGGCTCCGTGGACTAAGGAGTTTGCCAGCCACTGGGTTAGATTGTCGTCCCGGTGCCCCAAATTGTGGGCTCAGTCCCCAGTCAGCCCATCCGAGAACCAACCAGTGAGGAAGGGAACAACAAATCGATGTCTCAATAAATTACAAAACAAGTAATTAAAATGTGTGTTGACTGGATTAAAAATGTTTACAGGGAAGCAACTAGCAAAGCCTGTGTGTTTGTACAAAGGAAACCCCGGGATCAACGGGAATGGCTCCAGCCTGCAGCCTAACTCTGGCTCGGAGCCATGTTGTTTCACAGCCAGGCCATGGGGTCCCCAAATGGAGCACCCTGTGCACAGAGGCGCCCCTGGGCCACCCGGGGGGGAGGGGTGCACCCCAACCTGATGCCCCGAGAAGGCACAGGTCACATGGTTTTCTCGCTAAGTGGGTAACCTCGTCTACGAGCGCCTGGTACGAAACGAGGAAGCACAGTCCTCGGAGCGGCTGGTCCGGGAGGACTCCGGCCGGGGGTGGGCGGGAGGCCACAGCTGAGGGTCTGCAGGTCGGTGGTGGAAGCGATGCCGCCTTGTCATAATTCTGGAATAAAGCTCCGATTCTCCGGTCTCCTCGGAGGAACAGATCACGTGTCTCAGCTGTGTGCCACGTGTGGTGCGGATCGGCCCCTCCTGGACAGAACCCCGGCCTGGGCTCTGGAGGTCAGCCCTCCTGCAGGGCCTGGCAGGATGCCACCGCCCCCTACTTTCTTAGGGGGACACCCCATGGCAGCACCACCATGCTCAGCGGGCGCCAAGGTGTAGGGTCTGGGCCAGTGTGCTGTGGGGGCTGGTCTGAATGCCCATGCCCTGCCCCTTCACCGGGAACTCAGGGTCCTCCTGGTGCTGGACCTGGGGAGGGGCCAGCAGGACAGGGCCACCTGGAGACTGGCAGACTGAGGTTTCCTAGCCCCGGCTGGTGCTCTGGCCTGGGACCTGGATAGCCAGCCCCGCAGGCCAGGAGCAGCCGTGAGCTCCTGAGGGAGGGACTGCTGTCCCCCCGCAGGCACATGCAGACCCCCAGGGCCCCAGGTGCCGCGTCCCAGCTGTGCCTGCCTTTGTCCACCAGGGCCTGCCCCTTCCCTGCCCCCCGGGCGCCCTGGACAGGGGCTGGCCAGCACAGTCCCCCCTGACCTCCGGTCTCAGGGGGGAACCAGCAGCTCTGGTCCCAGGTGGCGGCTGGCAGGTCAGGGTCCCCCGGACGGTGGGGGACGGGCTGGGACACCCCTCCCGGGGCCTGCCTGCCTGAAGGTGCGGGCCCGGGGCCCACCCCCAGGAAACCCTTTCCCTACCCTCTGACCTCTGTGCCTCCGGGACCCAAGGTGGTGGCGTGGCGGCCCCTGCTGGGCGGCGGCGGAACTGCAGCGCGGAGGGGGGGGCCACCCAGGGACCTGAAGGTGGGACTCAGATCTCCCCATCTGCCAGGGCGCCCTGAGGCGCTCAATGCCCCCCCCTCCCCGTGGCACCACCGGAGCCGGGGCCGCGGGGGGCAGGAACAGAGCTGGGCTCCCGCATGGAGATGAGCGGGGTCTGTGGGGGGTCAGGGGGCTGTGGGGGGTCAGGGGGCTGTGGGGGCTGTGGGGTGGGGTTGGGGGAGGCTGGGGGGGCTGGGAGTATTTGGAGGAAACTGGGGAGGGCTGGAGGGAGCTGGGGGGCTCACCCAGAGGCCTGTGCTCCGCCCTGAGGCGTGGGGAGCAGGGGTTGGGGTTCGGGGACCCCCTGTGGTCTCCCCTCCCCATTTTCTGGGGACTCTCTCTTCTCCGGGACATAGGCTGCGCTCAGCCAGGCTCTCACCTGAGGCCGCTCCCCTGGGCGGGAGGACACCAGCCGCTGAGGGTGGTACAGCCGCAGGGCTCCCGGCTCCCGGCATCCTGGCTCCGGGCTCCGGGCACCCTGGGCTCTGGACATTCTGGGCTCCCGGCTCCGGGCTCTGGGCTCCGGGCATCCTGGGCTCCCGCCTCCGAACTCCCAGCTCCGGGCATCCTGGCTCCGGGTTCCAGGCATCCTGGGCTCCAGGCTCCGGGCATCCTGGGCTCCAGGCATCCTGGGCTCCAGGCTCCGGGCATCCTGGGCTCCGGGCTCCGGGCTTCCTGGGCTCCTGGCATCCTGGGCTCCGGGCTCCGGGCTCTGGGCATCCTGGGCTCCGGGCATCCTGGGCTCCGGGCTCCGGGCTTCCTGGGCTCCGGGCATCCTGGGCTCCGGGCATCCTGGGCTCCGGGCTTCCTGGGCTCTGGGCTTCCTGGGCTCCGGGCATCCTGGGCTCCGGGCTCCGGGCTTCCTGGGCTCCGGGCATCCTGGGCTCCGGGCTTCCTGGGCTCCGGGCTTCCTGGGCTCCGGGCATCCTGGGCTCCGGGCATCCTGGGCTCCGGGCTCCGGGCATCCTGGGCTCCGGGCTCCGGGCATCCTGGGCTCCGGGCATCCTGGGCTCCGGGCTTCCTGGGCTCCGGGCATCCTGGGCTCCGGGCTCCGGGCTTCCTGGGCTCCGGGCTTCCTGGGCTCCGGGCATCCTGGGCTCCGGGCTTCCTGGGCTCCGGGCATCCTGGGCTCCGGGCATCCTGGGCTCCGGGCTCCGGGCTCCGGGCTCCAGGCATCCTGGGCTCCGGGCTCCGGGCATCCTGGGCTCCGGGCATCCTGGGCTCCGGGCTCCGGGCATCCTGGGCTCCGGGCTCCGGGCATCCTGGGCTCCGGGCTCCGGGCATCCTGGGCTCTGGGCTCCGGGCATCCTGGGCTCCGGGCTCTGGGCTCCGGGCTCCAGGCATCCTGGGCTCCGGGCATCCTGGGCTCCGGGCTCCGGGCATCCTGGGCTCCTGGCTCCGGGCATCCTGGGCTCCGGGCTCCGGGCTCCGGGCTCCAGGCATCCTGGGCTCCGGGCATCCTGGGCTCTGGGCTCCGGGCATCCTGGGCTCCGGGCTCCGGGCTTCCTGGGCTCCCACTCCAGGCTCCGGGCATCCTTGGCTCCCGGCTCCGGGCTCCGGGCTCCGGGCTCCAGGCATCCTGGGCTCAGGGCATCCTGGGCTCCGGGCTCTGGGCTCGGGGCTCGGGGCTCCGGGCTTGGGCTCTGTCCGCTGAGTCTCCCCAGTGAGGAGCCTGAGAGGTGCCGGGCTCCGAACCTGACTTCCCAGGCTCAGCTCCCAAAGAGAGAGAGAGGGAGGGAGGAGAGCGAGAGAGGAATCTGAGAGCTTGTGCACCAGGTGGAAGTGACTTCCTGTCAGGGCCCAGCCTTGGCAGTCACACAAGTCTGCCACCATTCTGCACGGGCTGAGCAGTCAGAATCCCACCCAGATTCAAGTTGGGAACATAGATCCCTCCTCTCAGTGGGTGGATGAATGGATGGATTGATGGATGGATGGATGGATAGATGGGTGGGTGAATGGATGGATGGATGGGTGGTGGGTGGCTGGATGGGTGGATGAATGGATGGATGGATGGATGGTGCGTGAGATGGATGGATGGTGGGTGGGATAGATGGATGGTGGGTGGGATGGATGGATGGTGGGTGAATGGGTGGAAGATGGAGGGATGAATGGAGGGAGGGATGGATGGGTAGATGGATGGATGGATGGATGGATGGTAGGTGAATGGGTGGATAGATGGAGGGATGGATGGGTGGATGGATGGATGGATGAATGGTGGATGGATGGAGGGATGGATGGATGGGTGAATGGATGGATGGATGGAGGGATGGATGAATGGATGGATGGATGGATGGGTGAATGAGTGGATGGATGGAGGGATGAATGGGTGGGTGGATGGATGGGTAGGTGGATGATAGGACAGAGAAGGAAATATAAGCCCCATTACACCTGTTGGGCCCCATCCTTAGGGTGCAGGGACCTGGTCACAGCAGACGCACTCAGAGGCCTTTGTAAAGTGTCCCCCCTTCCACCCTGTGCTCGGTGAGGCCGGAGGGCTTCCTGGCTCCTCCGTCTGGTGTGAGGGTCCCTCGTGCTGGCCTCTGCCTCAGACCCCAAGTGTGGTCCAGGAGACGACCCCCATGAAGTGTGTGGCCCAGCCCTTCCCACCTCAGTCTCCCCACCCGCTGAGGCGCATGAGGCCAGTTTCTGGGGAGTAGCTGGGGGGGGGGGGGCAGGACCCCATCACCGCGTGGAGGCCGCATGGCTCAGCGAAGCTGGGGCATCCCATCAGCCCAGAGCAGGGGAGCAGGGGGACATGGGTGGGACTGAGCACGCACCCCTGCGAGCCGGTGCACACGCCAAGCATGTCCTCAGGCCCGTGCCCGAGGGAGGTGTGTTGCCACTTCACGCGTGTGTGTGTGTGTGTGATGACACTGGCTGCTGTGACTGGGCTGTGAGCGGGGGTGGAGGCATCTGTGTCCATCCTCCGGGTCTGTGCCCAGGTGTGGGCTTGCTGGGCGGTGGTCACTGATTGAACCATCTGAGGAGCCGCCAGGCCCAAGGCTGAAGGTGTGTGCCCAGCTTCCCTGCTGGTCCCCACTCCTCCCCCACACCCGCCCGCAGGAGGGTGGTGCCTGGGAGCCACTCTGCTCAGGGCTGTGCCCGCTCCCGCGGAGCGCTCAGCCTCTGTGCCCGCTGGGGCCTGGAGCAGCCCCCGGGCCTGAGGACCCTCAGACCCCCCTCCTCCCAGCTAATGCTGTTCCTCTGGGGAACTAAGCAAACAATGTCCTCAAGTATTTTCCGCCAGGCAGTGCCCACTCCGCCGCCCACCCCTGCCAGGTCCAGGGTCGAAGCACTTCAGCCAGATGGGTGCTCTCTGCTCCGGCCTCAGGGCCCCGGACACCACACCTTACGGGCCTCTGGGGCTCTGTCCCTCACCCCTGGCACTGGCCCTGGAGGCGAGGAGGGTTGCCGGCTCCGTAGGCCGCCCATTGTGTGCCAGCCCTCTGCAGAGCGCCCCAAGCTGCTACCCCATCTTCCCTCTGGCTTTTCTGTCTCTGGCGGAACACAATGGCCCTTCTGTGGGGTGGGCCAGAGGCCACGGTGCCCAGGCTGCGTGGGAGGCTGTGCCCAGCACGCCTGCCTCACCCTCCGGGCCGGGCCGGGCCGGGCCGGGCGGGAGCAGCCATGGAGCAGAGGGGGGAGGGGAGGACAGGCGGCCCCGGAGAGTTCCGGCCAGCGGGTCGCACCCAGCCACATGGTCGTGCAGCCCAGAGCGCCATGCGTGTGGGGGCCAGGGGTGTGCCCGTGGCTGCCCGGCGTGCCGCTCCTCTGCCCATCCAGGCCAGGGTCCCCGGCCCAGGCCAATTCGGCCGGATGGGTGCTCTCTGCTCCGGCCTCAGGGTCCACCAGAGGCCTCAGACCCAGGGCGTCTCCCGGCCACGGCCTCGCACCGCTGGCAGCACGGAAGGCAGCGAAGGCCACGCCCGTGCCCACAGGCTGCCACCGCGGGGCCTGTAGGCAGAGGGGGCCTGTGGCCATGCTCCGTCCGGGTCTCAGACTCCGGCAGCCGCAGGCCCCTCGCAGAAGGAGGACTCGGCGCCTGCTCTGTTCTCGGGGTGTTGGCTGGGCGCTGGGGGCTGGGCTGGGCCTGTGGGGTCCCGGCCCTTGGGGGGGGGTCTCTGGTGATTACTCGGGTGCTCAGCTGGCGGTCCAGGGGGGAGGGTGGGAAGATAGAGGCTGTGGGTCTCCGGAAGGTGCTGAGGGGCTGTTAGCAGCCCCCCGCCCAGGAGGCTGCTCTGTCGCCATTTGTTCTTATGGGATGTGTCCCTGCGTTTGTAACTGAAGAAGAAAACAGAATTTGAGAAACAAACACATGGGCACGTGGAGGAGGGACCTCCATCTCCGTCCACTCACTTCCTGCTTGAGGCCGGGGACCCCATCCCGCCCCCTGAGCAGGGAGGGTGGGACCCTTATTCCTCCTGAGCACCCATGGGCACAGGTCTTGTCACCTGTCTCCTCCCAGGAAGGTGGGGGGGGGAGGGGGGGGATCCCCGACTCTGGGCCCGCCCCCTTCCTCCCCCGCCCTCAGGGGGGCTGGGCGCGAGGGCGCAGTGGGAATGGGGTGCTGTCGCCGCCACCCCCAGGCCGGCAGGTGCCCCCTCGGCTCCCGGTAGAGCAGAGCGCGGGTCCGGGCGGAGGCTGGGTGCTGGGTGCCGGGTGCCGGGTGCCGGTGCCGGTGCCGGAGCCGCCTGCCCGCGCCGCTGGGGGCCGCCCGCGGGCCGAGCCGGCAGCGCCGAGCGCCGGCCCCGCAGGAGCACACGCCCGGCGGCGGAGCGGGCGGCACGGAATGCGGAACCGGCGGGCGGGCTGAGGCTCGCGGGCGCGGGGCGCAGCGGAGGGACCCCCGGGCGGCGATGGCCCAGGAGCGGCCGCGGGCGCTGGGCGAGCTGCTGCGGCGGCCGGGGAACGCGCGCTGCGCCGACTGCGGCGCCCCCGGTACGTGCGGGCGGGCGGGCGGGCGAGGGCGCGGGCGGTGGGTGCTCCGGGTGGTGCTCCGGGTGGTGCTCCGGGTGGTGCTCCGGGTGCCCGGGCGCGGGCCGGGGTGCAGCCCGGAGCGGAGCGGCCCCGGGGGGGCGCTGCGGCGCCGCGTGGCCGGGGCGGGGCGCACTGGCCCGGCGGGTGGGGCCGGTGCACCTGCTGGCGGACAGCCAGGCCCCCTCCGGCTCCTCCGCCGCGCCTCCCCCTCCCCCCGGCTCCCGGCTCCCGGCTCCCGGCTCCCCGCTCCCCGCTCCCCGCTCCGCGGACCCGCCTTGCGAAACCCCGGCCCCGGCTCCGCGGAGAAAGAGGAAATCGCCGCGGCGGGGCCGGAGGATGGAGCCGCGGGCGGGCGGGGCGGCCACCGGGCTCCCGGCCTGCGGTGACGTCAGCTCCGAGCCCGAACCCGCGCCCGCGCCCCGCGCCCCGGCCCCGCGCCCCACACAGCAGGGGGCCCCGCAGGTCCGGCTCCTGGGCCCTGGGTCCTGGGCCCTGGGTCCTGGGTCCTGGGTCCTGGGTCCTGGGTCCTGGGTCCTGGGTCCTGGGTCCTGGGCCCTGGGCCCTGGGTCCTGGGCTCTGGGTCCGGCTCCTGGGTCCTGGGTCCTGGGCCCTGGGCCCTGGGCCCTGGGCCCTGGGCCCTGGGTCCTGGGTCCTGGGTCCTGGGTCCTGGGTCCTGGGCTCTGGGTCCTGGGCTCTGGGTCCTGGGCTCTGGGTCCTGGGTCCTGGGTCCTGGGTCCTGGGTCCTGGGCTCTGGGTCCTGGGTCCTGGGCTCTGGGTCCTAGGCTCTGGGTCCTGGGTCCCGGGTCCCGGGTCCTGGGGTCGGTCGGAGGAACCAGAGCGAGGACTCGGCAGGAGGCGGGGGCAGCCCCAGTGGATGTGCCCAGGAGTGAGCAAGTGCCCGCTTTACGGTGGGAAACAGGTCCTTAGGGGACACGGGCCTTGGCTCTGCTCGCTCTGCTGTGCCCTCTGCCTGCCTCCCCTGCTCCGGCCTTGGGGCCACGGCCACTGCCTGAGGCCGGCACCGTCTGTCCTCCTCCCGCGGAGCCCTGCCTGCTGGGGCCAGAGGGCGGCCAGGGACCCCGGGCACTGCCGGGCGGGTGGGGCTGTGTGTGATGCTGGCAGAACCCAGCCACACGCCCTTGCCCTCCCGCCTCGGCCAGCTAGGAGCAGGCACCTGGGGGGGTTCCCCCGCAGCATCAGCCCTGGACGGCAGGACAGTGCGGGCCGGGTGTGGGGGCCGGATGTGGGACCCGGGCAGGCCTGGCAGCCGGCCCCGCAAGGGCTGGGGACCCCTGCAGCCCCCAACACCCGCTTCCGACCCTTCCCCATGACATCGAACCCGGGCTGGTCTCCGGCCTCCCCGGGGCCGCCTGTGGGGGTCCCCCAGGGGCCCTGAGCGCGGGGAGGCCCCGCCCGGCCCTGCCTGGCATGCGGTGGGAAGGCGCTTATCTCGCTCCCGTGACCGGAGGTCCAGCAGAGCCACGCGTGTCCGTGCGGACGGTCGGAGTCTGGGGAGCCGGGATGCTGTGGCCGGAGGATGAGCTGAGCCCGTCTGCCCTGCCCGGGTTCAGGTTCACTGACAGCAGCACCAGGCCCGGGAGCCACTGTTCCCGGAGGCGACAGGCCTGGGCGCTTCCGTCTTTTTAAAAAACAACTATTTATCGTTGAAGGTGTTACATCGGACCCCTTTCCCGCCTCGGCCCCGGCCCGCCCCCACCCTCTGGGATGCACCTTCTTAGCCACGGTGGCCCTGCCGTCGGTGGCACCGGGCACCCCCAGTGTGAGCCCGCTGCACAGGGGCCTCACCGCGTGTGCCCATCCGTCCACGGCCGGCAGGAGCCGGCGCGCCGGGGGGAAGGATCCACGCCAGGCGGCTGCCCGGCTCCATTTCTCCGGGAAAAGAACTGGGAGGGACCCTGTGGGGTCCTGGTGGCGGGGAGGAGGGAGTGTTGGCCGTGGAGAAGCCGGGCCTTCCTGGTCCACCCTCCCCCACCTCTGCTGCTGCCTCGCCTGTCAGGCCCTGGGCGGCAGGCTGGGGTGCTTTCCCCTTTTACTGTGAGTGTGTGTGTGTGTGTGTGTGTATAATTTATATATTTTTTTTTACTTCAGAGATGAAAGGAGAGGGAGAGAGAGATAGAAACATCAATGGTGAGAGAGAATCATTGAAGGGCTGCCTCCTGCACGCTCCCCACGGGGATAGAACCCACACCCAGGCATGTGCCCTTGATTGGACCCTACAGTCCACAGTCGGAAGCTCTATCCACTGAGCAAACCGCCAGGGCTTGTGTGAGTTCTTCGTGTGTTTCTGAGTGTTAGGCCTTTATCGGACGCGACCTGCAGCTGTGTCCTCTCCGTCGCCGGCTGCCTTCCACTCTGCTGGGTCCCTTTGCTGCGCAGAAGGTTCTGGTTCCGTGCAGCCTCACTTGGTTTTTGCCTTCGTTGCTTTTGGTTTGAAATCCAAAAGCACTGGTCACGGAGCTCACCGCCCATGCTGTTTAGGCGTTTTACGGTCCCGAGTCCAACCTCAGGCGCTAGCCCATTGGGAGGCGATTGGTGTGCTCGGCGCCAGACAGCAGTCCTGAGTCCGTTTTGCACGAGACAGCCCAGTCTTCCCAGCACGTTTCCTGGAGAGACTGTCCTCTCCCGACCGCGTTCTCTCCTGAGACGTAATCGGTCGTGTGTGTGAGCTCTATTCCATTCCTCTATGCGTCTGTTTTTATGCCGGTGCCATACTGTTTTAATTACTGTACCTTTGTTGTTTTTTATTAAAATATATAGTTTTATTGATTTTTTTACAGAGAGGAAGGGAAAGGACTAAAGAGTTAGAAACATTGATGAGAGAGAAATATCAATCAGCTGCCTCTTGCACATCTACTGGGGATGTGCCCGCAACCAAGGTACATGCCCTTGACCAGAATCGAACCTGGGACCCTTCAGTCCGCAGGCTGACGCTCTATCCACTGAGCAACACCGGTCTCTGCTTGAACCTGTAGAATTTTCTACATGTGGCGTCATGCCATCTGCAGAGAGTGAAACTGCCCCTTCTTTCCGATCTGGCTGCCTTTTGCTTGTCTTTCTTGCCCAATTCTGGCTGCACCTGCCGAGACTCAGTGAGTAAAAGGGTGAGGTGGGCCTTCTGTCCATTGTCCATCTTGGAGGAGACGTTCCGCCTCACCGCTGAGCGTGATGCGAGCTGCGGGCTCGTCTGCGTTTGTCGGGAGGATGCTGGCTTTGTGGGATGAGACTGGGAGCAGACCTCCTCTGGTTTGGGGAAGAATCTGAGAAGGATTGGTATCAATTCTCTAAATGTAGCTGGTGGAGGTGACCCCGCCTGGCAGGGCGAGAGGCGAGGGGGGATGAGGAGGCGGCCGTGGGTGATTCAGACACGGCCCGCCGGCCCCGCCCCCTGAGCTGCCCAGAGCCAGGCCAGGGCTGTCAGTGCCAGAGCTCAGCCCTCCCCTCACGGGCGCCTCGGGAAAGGGCAAAGGTCAGCCGGCCAACCCCTCCCCTGCCGGCCGGGCTGCCCGGACACACCTGTTCTGCGGGCTCAGCCCTGCCTGCCTCGTGCGTCCAGGTTTCAGTCCGCCTCCGGGAATGGAGAGAAGGCTGAGTCACCCAGAATGGCCTGGAGAAGCCGGGCAGAGTGGGCAGAGGCGCTGGCAGCTGGGGGCTGAAGGGCTGGGGGCTGGGGGGCTGGAGGGCTGGGGGCTGGGGGGCTGGAGGGCTGGGGGGCAGACCTGATGGGGGCTGGGGGGCTGGGGGGCTGGAGGGCTGGGGGGCTGGGGGGCTGGAGGGCTGGGGGCTGGGGGCAGACCTGATGGGGGCTGGAGGGCTGGGGGCTGGGGGGCTGGGGGGTGGGGGCAGACCTGATGGGGGCTTGTGCATCTGGTAGGGATTGTGGTCCTTTTCTTCTTATGGAAAAGATTTAGTGTCTCCATTTCTTAATTTGAAACCTTTTTGTTGCTAATCCTCACCTAAGGGTATTTTTCATTGATTTTTAGAGAGAGTGGAAGGGGGGTAGGAGAGAGAGAAACATCAATTAGTTGCCTCCTGTCTACACTCCAACTGGGGCTGGGGATGGAGCCTGCAGCTGAGGCCCGTGCCCTTGGCCAGAGTCGAACCCGGGACCCTTTGGTCTGCGGGCAGACACTATCCACTGAGCAAACCTGGCTAGGGCTTGAAACTTCCTGAACCCGCCTTACAAGCATCTGCTCAAGGTGGGTTCTGGGCCCCTCCACATACACGCACACACGCGCACACACATATACACGCACACACACACGTGCACACACACGCACGCGCGCGCACACACACATACACGCACACAGATGTGCACGCACACACATACACACACGCACACCAGAGGCGGCAGGTGTCCCCGGCGGGCCCCGTGCCAGCCGCAAGCTGAAGGGCAGGTGGTCAGAGAGACATCGGCCGGGACGTGGCCACCGTCCGGGCTCCGGGCCACACCTCTGTCCCCGAAGGAAGCGGGTGCAGCCGAGAGGCCCCACAGCCGCCGTAGGCTCCGGGCCGCTGAGGGGGCGCGGAGGGAGCCACAGCCGTTCGGCTCTGGGAGAAAACCCGCTGATGGACCCGCGCCTGTGGTTTCCATGGAAACCGGCGGCTGGGCCCAGCCCACTGCCCGCCCGGAGGCCCCGCCCACCAAGCCGCCCCGGGCCACGCCCACTGGCCGAGCCCTGCTCTGAGTGCAGCCGCCAGTGGGTGGGCCGGGCCCCCACCTCTCACCGGTGGCCTGAGCGCCCTGGGGTTTGCTGTGCCGGGGCGCAGGGGCCCCCTTCCCTGTTCTTGTCTCCGAGGGGCCGGCCGTGGGTCCGAGCATTTCCTCATTTCCTGTTGGGACAGCGTTTCGCAAAGAGGGAGCGGCTCCTGGGGCCGAGGAGGGCCGCCTGCCCGGTCCGTGATGTCCCGGAGGGGAGGGGAGCCGGGACCCAGGGTGGGCTGTGCCCCGCCGAACCCCCAATCCCTGGGGGCGGGGCCTCGGGGCGGGCGGGGCCTCAGGATGGGCGGGGCCTCGGGGCGGGGTGGGCGGGGACTCGGGGGGGGTCTCATGATGGGCGGGGCCTCGGGGCGGGTCTCAGGATGGGCGGGGCCTCAGGGCGGGTGGGCGGGGCCTCGGGGCGGGCAGGGGTCTCAGGATGAGCGGGGCTTCGGGCGGGGCGGGGCCTCGGGGTGGGCGGGGCCTCGGGTGAGACAGGAATCTCGGGATGGGCGGGGCTTCGGGTGGGGCGGGGCCTCGGGGTGGGCGGGGCCTCTGGGCGGGTGGGCGGGGCTTCGGGCGGGGTCTCATGATGGGCAGGGCCTCTGGGCGAGCAGGGGTCTCAGAATGGGCGGGGCCGAGGGGCGGGTGGGCGGGGCTTCGGGCGGGGTCTCATGATGGGCAGGGCCTCTGGGCGAGCAGGGGTCTCAGAATGGGCGGGGCCGAGGGGCGGGGCCTCGGGATGGGCGGGCCTCGGGGCGGGGCGGGCTGCAGCTGTCCAGCGGTGTGAGTGACACCAGCACCCAGGGGGCCTGAGAGCAGAGGCCGGGCCTGTGACCGGGACCTGAGGCCCATGCACCCTGAGAGCGTGGCCTCGGTGGGGCCTCCTGTGTTCCCCGCCCCCAGGGAGGCTCAGACCGGGACGTGCCCCCCAGCCCGCTGCCCACCCCGGGCCCCACAGACCTGGCTCCGGCCCGCCAGCCGGTCACCAGGTGGAGGCCGCCCCTTGGCGCCGCGGGCACCGGGCGTGGCGGGAGCTCAGGGGGTGCGGGCGGCTCCCTCCCTGCAGGGGCCTCCGGGCCAGGCTGCGGGGAGGGGTCCCCCAAACCGCCCTGTGCATCGGGGGGCCGAGGCGGCGGGTGATCAAGAGGCAAGAGCAGAAATGGGTGGTGGTGCTGGGAGCCACAGGGCCTCTGACTGGCCCCCCAGTGGCCAGGGAGCCTGTGGGCTGGCCTTTGAGCAGAGGCATCGGCGGTGGGGCGGGCCCTCGGGGTGGGGGCAGCCTCTGGGCTGGAGGTGGCCTGGGAGGGTCTTCCCAGCGGAAAATTGGATGCTGGGCGCGGCTGTGGGGGAGGGCAGGAAGCATCAGTGACAGGAGTGTGCCCGGCGGGGGGGCCGGCCTCTCAGCCCCCCTCCTGTCAGCTCCTCTTAGCTGGGGGGCGGCCCCGGGAGCCAAGGCTCCAAGGCCTTGGGTGTCTGCACTGGCCCCCCCTGCAGGCCTTGGTGGGCCCCGATGCCAGCCAATCCCGCTGCAGGGAGGGTCCCTGTGAGTGAGGGATACTTCCCCTCCCCACCGCCTATCAGGGGTCGGCAACCTGCCGCTCCGGAGCCGCATGCGGCTCTTTTGAACCTTTGCTGTGGCCCCCAGCAGGGCAGATAGCAGGGCGGGGCGGGGAGCTGTAATGTCGCAATGGTTTTGCGGCTCCGAGGTTTTTTTTTTCTTTCGAAAACGGGTCCAAGTGGCTCTTTATGTCTTAAAGGTTGCAGACCCCTGGCCTAGATCCACCGGGGCCTCCACCCAGCCCCCCCCCCCAGACTCCAGCCTCCCCTGCACCCACAGGAGCCGGCTCCATGCCCACAGCCCGGGAGCCAGGCCCGCGGGTGACAGCGTTTCTCTCTGAAACTCCTCTGTTCTGAAGCTGTGTCTGGGCTGGCCACCTGCCTCCTGGCCTCCACCTCCTGGCTGGACCCGTCCCAGCCTTCAGGACAGGGCCTGGACACTGGGCTAGGAGAGAGGGAGGGGCCTGGACACTGGGCAGGGGCAGGGACGGGCCTGGACACTGGGCTGGGCAGGGAGGGGCCTGGACACTGGGATGAGCTGGGGGGCAGGGAGGGGCCTGGACACGGGGCTGGGGCAGGGAGGGGCCTGGACACTGGGCTGGGGGCAGGGAGGGGCTGGACACTGGGCTGGGCAGGGAGGGGCCTGGACATTGGGCTGGGGACAGGGACAGGCCTGGACACTGGTTTGGGCTGGGGACAGGGAGGGCCCCTGTGCTGTGGTCAGAGGGAGAGACATCAACCCACAGAAACACAGAGCCCTGGCCCCACCCCATGGGCTCGGGGTCAGCACCTGCCGGTTGGCATCACCCGCCCCGAGTCTGCTCAGCCTTCTTGGTAACTAGACCCACGCGTGTCCCACGGAGTGCACCACGGCCACGGCCACACCAGTCCTCGCACGCTGGACACGTGTGCATCATTGACCCACACGTGCACCACGGAGTGCACCACGGCCACGGCCATGCCAGTCCTCGCACGCTGGACACGTGTGCGTCATTGCACGTCCGTCCTTGGCCTTGTGGTCGTCAGCGTCCCCACGAATGCAGTGTCCCCTCCGGAGCCTCCTCCCAGCCGCCCTGCCCCGACCGGGCGGCCAAGGCCAGGAGGAGGCCCCTGCAGGCTGGGGCTCCCCGCTCTGACCCGGACCCTCCCCGCTGTGATCCCGGACCCTCCCCGCTGTGACCCGGACCCTCCCCGCTCTGACCCCGGACCCTCCCCGCTGTGACCCCGGACCCTCCCTGCTGTGACCCGGACCCTCCCCGCTGTGACCCGGACCCTCCCCGCTCTGACCCCGGCCGCTCCCCGCTCCCCGCTCTGACCAGACTCCGACCTTGCCTTCCAGATCCCGACTGGGCCTCCTACACCCTGGGCGTGTTCATCTGCCTGAGCTGCTCCGCCATCCACCGCAACATCCCGCAGGTCAGCAAGGTCAAGTCCGTTCGCCTGGACGCCTGGGAGGAGGCCCAAGTGGAGGTACGGCCTGGGGCGCGGCCGCCGGGCCCTCACAGGCCCTTCGTTCCCGCTCTCTGGCTCCGGGCTGGGCCGGGGGACCTGGGGCTGGGGATCCGTCTGGGTGATCACCCACGCCTCCCTGTGGGCCTGCAGAGAGAGGGCCCCCCTCGGGCAGCTCCTGGGCTTCGGGCTCACCGGGGCCATGCTCAGCTGAGGGAGGACAGGCCCTCCTGCTCTTGGGGTTTTCCCGCTCCCCCTCCTGGGCGCCCTGGCCCCGACCCGCCACCCTGACCACGTCCATGAGCTCTCGCTCAGGAGGGCAGGGAGGAAGCTGGCCCTGGGGAGGGTCTGAGGGGAAGGTCCCCTCCTCAGCCCACAGGTCCTGGGGGGGCAGCAGGCCCGGGCCGGGGAGACCACCCGGGGGTGGGAGAGGAGGAGCGGAGCAGGGGGGTCTGGGCCCCTGGCGGCTGGGGCAGGGGGGTCTGGGCCCCTGGCGGCTGGGGGACGGGGGGTCTGGGCCCCTGGCGGCTGGGGGACGGGGGGTCTGGGCCCCTGGCGGCTGGGGCAGGGGGGTCTGGGCCCCTGGCGGCTGGGGGACGGGGGGTCTGGGCCCCTGGCGGCTGGGGCAGGGGGGTCTGGGCCCCTGGCGGCTGGGGGACGGGGGGTCTGGGCCCCTGGCGGCTGGGGGACGGGGGGTCTGGGCCCCTGGCGGCTGGGGGACGGGGGGTCTGGGCCCCTGGCGGCTGGGGGCAGGGGGGGTCTGGGCCCCTGGCAGCTGGGGGCAGGGGGGTCTGGGCCCCTGGCGGCTGGGGGACGGGGGGTCTGGGCCCCTGGCGGCTGGGGGACGGGGGGTCTGGGCCCCTGGCGGCTGGGGGCAGGGGGGTCTGGGCCCCTGGCGGCTGGGGGCAGGGGGGTCTGGGCCCCTGGCGGCTGGGGGATGGGGGGGTCTGGGCCCCTGGCGGCTGGGGGACGGGGGTTCTGGGCCCCTGTTGGCTGGGGGCATGGGGGGTCTGGGCCCCTGGCGGCTGGGGGACGGGGGGGTCTGGGCCCCTGGCAGCTGGGGGACGGGGGGGTCTGGGCCCCTGGCGGTTGGGGGCAGGGGGGGTCTGGGCCCCTGGCGGCCGGGGGCAGGGGGGGTCTGGGCCCCTGGCGGCTGGGGGCAGGGGGGTCTGGGCCCCTGGCGGCTGGGGGATGGGGGGGTCTGGGCCCCTGGCGGCTGGGGGACGGGGGTTCTGGGCCCCTGTTGGCTGGGGGCATGGGGGGTCTGGGCCCCTGGCGGCTGGGGGACGGGGGGTCTGGGCCCCTGGCGGCTGGGGCAGGGGGGTCTGGGCCCCTGGCGGCTGGGGGACGGGGGGGTCTGGGCCCCTGGCGGCTGGGGGACGGGTGGGTCTGGGCCCCTGGCGGCTGGGGGATGGGGGGTCTGGGCCCCTGGCGGCTGGGGGATGGGGGGTCTGGGCCCCTGGCAGCTGGGGGATGGGGGGTCTGGGCCCCTGGCGGCCGGGGGCAGGGGGGGTCTGGGCCCCTGGCGGCTGGGGGATGGGGGGTCTGGGCCCCTGGCAGCTGGGGGACAGGTGGGTCTGGGCCCCTGGCGGCTGGGGGATGGGGGGGTCTGGGCCCCTGGCGGCTGGGGAACAGGTGGGTCTGGGCCCCTGGCGGCTGGGGGCAGGGGGGTCTGGGCCCCTGGCGGCTGGGGGCAGGGGGGGTCTGGGCCCCTGGCGGCTGGGGGCAGGGGGGTCTGGGCCCCTGGCGGCTGGGGGATGGGGGGGTCTGGGCCCCTGGCGGCTGGGGGCAGGGGGGTCTGGGCCCCTGGCGGCCGGGGGCAGGGGGGGTCTGGGCCCCTGGCGGCTGGAGCAGGGGGGTCTGGGCCCCTGGCGGCTGGGGGCAGGGGGGTCTGGGCCCCTGGCGGCCGGGGGCAGGGGGGGTCTGGGCCCCTGGCGGCTGGGGGACGGGGGGGTCTGGGCCCCTGGCGGCTGGGGCAGGGGGGTCTGGGCCCCTGGCAGCTGGGGGATGGGGGGTCTGGGCCCCTGGCGGCTGGGGCAGGGGGGTCTGGGCCCCTGGCGGCTGGGGGATGGGGGGGTCTGGGCCCCTGGCGGCTGGGGGACGGGGGGTCTGGGCCCCTGGCGGCTGGGGGACGGGGGGGTCTGGGCCCCTGGCGGCTGGGGGACGGGGGGTCTGGGCCCCTGGCAGCTGGGGGACAGGTGGGTCTGGGCCCCTGGCGGTTGGGGGCATGGGGGGTCTGGGCCCCTGGCGGCTGGGGGACGGGGGGGTCTGGGCCCCTGGCGGCTGAGGGACGGGGGGGTCTGGGCCCCTGGCAGCTGGGGGACGGGGGGTCTGGGCCCCTGGCAGCTGGGGGACAGGTGGGTCTGGGCCCCTGGCGGTTGGGGGCATGGGGGGTCTGGGCCCCTGGCGGCTGGGGGACGGGGGGGTCTGGGCCCCTGGCGGCTGAGGGACGGGTGGGTCTGGCCCCTGGCGGCTGGGGGACGGGGGGGTCTGGGCCCCGGGCGGCTGGGGGCAGGGGGGGTCTGGGCCCCTGGTGGCTGGGGGACGGCTGGGGGACAGTAGACGCTGGGCTGGCACTCAGATGTGGCTGACGCTGGTCGGGAAGGAGGGAGAAGGCCCAGAGTGGCCAGCGGCTGGGACCAGGCGAGGGGGGTGCTGGACGGGGCAGGGACGCAGCCCGTCACCCCCGTGCTGTCCTCAGAGCAGAGGGGCCCACGGGCAGCCACGTGGGTCTTGTCTCCTCCCACTGTGACCGGGCCAGTGACCAGGCTGGGAGGGGTGTCACCTGGCCCGGGGAGGCTGGGGGTTCGGGGAGGCCCAGCTCCCGGGGCGGCACAGTCAGGGTGGGCACTGCCGCTGAGAGGTGTGCCCCTCCTGTACCCGTCCCCGTTCCCCGCCCCTGCCCCACACTGGCTCCGGGCGCCCCTTTGTGAGGGAAGGAGTAATGTCCCCGAAGGGTCTCCGTGGGGCGCCCGGTCCAGGAGGAGAGCGGGTGTCCGTGTGAGGGTTCGGGGTCCCCGTCCCGCCCGCCGTGACCGGCTCCCCGAGGTTCTCGCTTCGGGGCGGTGCTCGGGCGCTGCTCCTCGGCTCCGGCCCTTTGACTTGCTCGGGTTCCGTAGTGGAAACTTCTCGCTTTGGTGTCGTCGGATCTGTCAGCCTTTTCTGCTGTGGTTTGAGGGTTTCCAGCCAAGGCAGGCCGGCTCCCCAGGACTGTTCTTACTCATCACACGTCACTGAGAGTCACCCCCACCTCACAGCTCGCCCCGCAAAGCTCAGAGTCCCCGGCGGGGCCCCCACCACATCTGCGTTCAGATCAGCTCCACGCCCCGGATAACGGCACCCACCGCCGCCCTCCCTCCCGCTCCCCCGCCCCTGCTCAGGCTCCGGCTCAGCTGCTGCAGCCCAGCTCCCCTGCGGCCCATGGGCCTGTGTCAGCTCCGGCCCAGACACCAGCCGGTCTCCCCGTGGGGGCCGAGTCTTCTGTCACTCTCACCTTTGGGATCTGCCAGACTTTCCCAAACAGCCGCGCCCCGCACCCCAGCACGTGTGACCCCCTTCTTTGAGAGCTTGGTCACTGTCTGTCTCCGAGGCAGCCGCCCCCGAGGGGAGCCGCCCGTCCGGCCTGGCTGGTGGCCGGAGCCTCCTCTCCTGCTTCTGGCCAGGCTGAGCCATCTCGGGAGAAATGTCCGTTCAAATCCTTTACGATGGGTTATTTCTCCTTTTATTGTCAAGTTCCGGGTTTTATTATGAAGAGTTCTTCACAAATCCTGGAGGCAAGCCCCTCACCACCTGAGGTGTTGGTAAACAACTTTTTCTCCTTTTGCAGTGATTTTTAAATGCAAAGAGTACAGTTTATATTCCTAAGGGGCATGTGGTGAGCTCAGTGTTACAGTGAAGCGCTCAGGGCGGTTAGCACATTGACAATGTGTGCAGCCACCGCCTCTTGTCTAGTTCCAAACGCTCCCATCACCTGGGGGAGACCCCGCCCACCAGCAGCCCTCTGCCCCGCCAATAGTCCCGCCCCCTCCCTGGCCCCGCCCCTGATCCTGCCCCCCCTGAGCCCTGGC